CGTCATATGCACTGTACTCGTGACAAGCGCAGAACCACAACGGTTCTGGAACAGTTGCTGTTCGTTTAATAAATGATAAGCTAGAAACTACGCACTCCTACATACAAATGTTTGTGGACGATGCGAAGTTATTCAGGGAAAATTGGGAATCAAACGGGTAGTAAAATGCTACAGGAAGACCTCTGTTAGCTTCAGGAGTGGTCAAATGAATAGCTGTTCAGATTCAACGTACTTGCCAACAGTGCGTAACAGAGACCGTGACTGACTGCCCGAAAAGAAGAAAATAAAGTAATAGTTTGTGGTACCATAGAAGAAAAAAAAAGTTCGTTAATCAGACTTACTTGTATACAGAAAAACAAATCCTAGTTTAAAGTATGACACTGATATCTCAAGTAGCACGAGGAACACGGGATGCCTTCTGCACTACCTCCACCACCATTTAAAATTGGTAAGCACAACTAGCATGCCGGCAACCCTTGAGTGTAATTGATAAAAAGAAGTGATCCCCGGCGGTGTGTGAAGGTCACGAGGCTGGTGTTAATGACACACACACTATGACTCAACACTCAATAGCGTCTGGCAGTGCTGCAGATGCAGTGCTACCAAATGTATTGTATAATATAGTTAAAACTGTAAAGGAAATACACAATATAACTAACCAAAACTGCAGAGACTATTCACCAGCAGAAGCTGTTTTTTGAGCTTCCCCATCTAGAGTACTGTCACCCCGTCTAGTCCCCGAGATATGCTAGGGACTGTGGAATTCCAATCTGAGTTTTAGTAGATACAGTAACACTAGGGGAGTTTACCTGCATGGTTGGGATATAACGGATATAAGCACCATTTTCCTTTCGTATATGTGCATATATATATATATATATATATATATATATATATATATATATATATATATATATATATATATATATTATATATATATATATATATATATATAAATTTCCTCAAGAAGAATGCTGTAAACCCGCAGCATGTAACCAAGCTGTCACAACCAGTTATATAACAGCTGATCTGTAAGTGTCCACTTCTGATCCATAGCGACTCGCCTCAACCACCGTCACGCCGTGATAAGCTGACGCAAACTTCCATCTCCTTCACGGGAGTTATATAATGTGGCAGGTCACGAAAGGATTTTTTTTTCGAATTTTTAGACGTTTTGTTTTGAATGTACCGACAATAACTAATTAGGGTTGGGAATAAATCAGTTTACAACTTTTAGACAGAGGCTTAATTTGTTTTTGCTCATAACTGTTCTAAACGGAACGTCTTGTAACTATATAATTGTCACTAAGCTGAAGTTTATAAACTGGTGTGTAAGGAAGTCTGTTCACCGTTGAACTGCCTTGTAGTTTACATTTGTCTTTCATAAATACAGTATATAATCATGTATCTTATCTCTTACCTATATCAAACAGAAATAACGAACATACTGTACACGAAGCATTTAAGCAAGAAATGAATATCATATTCGAACTCAGTGATGAAAATATAGTAAGAAAAGAGACCCCAAAACAAATAACATGGCGGCGGTTTCTCGTCAATATTAACCATAATTTACTCACTAGCCAGAGCCACAACGTGGAATTTTGGGAAGCTGGCTCTGATGTTCGGCCCCACCTCCAGGTGTGGAACCTCCTCATTAAACACAAAACTATTTTTTCTGCTTCTTTGCTATGCACGGCCATTACTAAAATTTGGATTATATAAGTAAATAGCTTCGAGAATGCCAACGAGCGCATAAACTGGCTGAACCCCTCCTTAAAAGTGCCCCACCGTGCACCACAGTAATTGGAACTTTATTTTTGCAGAGAGCCTGGGTAACGCCGGATGCCCAGCTAGGTGTGTGTGTGTGTCTTGGGAATACCTAGATTCCTACCGTGGACCATCGCTGAGGGGGGAACCAAACATCACTCAGGAGATAATTATGTGATAATGTAGTCTCGTTCAAGATTCTTCGAACACTGCTGGAGACAGCTGGCAATTCAAATTAACAGTATACACTAGCAGAAAAGTATATAATACGAAACAACAAAGCCCAACCATTAATTAAGCAACGGGGAACTAAATAACCAATCACCAATCGCTTTTATATCCATTCATAATTGTTACTACACTGTCTCCAGCAGTGTTCAAAGAATCTTGAACAAGACTACAAACAGCTGTCGCGTTCAAACGAAATTATACCCGACGAGACCAAGGAATTTCCGTTGTACATTTTTGAACTCTCGTTAACATCTTTACTTTTACCTTGATCCTCTTCACCACTGATCGGCTCGTTGGCCGCTTGGGCGAGTACTGGGCATGCTGCATGCATTGGCTCCTGAATGTAACTGATTACTGATAAGTAGTGAAATAATATATATATATATATATATATATATATATATATATACATATATATATACATATATATATATACATATATATATATATATACATATATATATATATATACACATATATATATATATATATATACACATATATATATATATATATATATATATATATACATATATATATATATATACACATATATATATATACACACACACATATATATACATATATATATATATATATATATATATATATATATATATATATATATATATATATATATATATATATATATATATACAACTTCAGCAATGGACTTGTTACGTGGAAAACGTAGTTGTATAATGAAGAGGAGAACCAGGGTAAACACAAACATCTTGAAATAGGGTTTCTTTTAATTGCTTACGTTTCGGAAATAATCCTTTCCCATCATCAGAGCCTAAAAAGTTTTGAAAAAGTTTAAAAATACAGGTGATATACAATAAAAACATAATATTGTGCGAAAATTTACCTTCGATAAACTTCAAAAATTTAAAAAAGAGCAATCCACTTCAAAACCGACAAAAATGACGAGAGACCTACATACAAAGCTAAAGTCAGGAAATAAAAAGTATGAAATAAAATATAAATGGTGTATTACCTTAATTCAGACGAGCCTTAATGTGAAAGACATAACAATTCACTAGAGGCCATATCACAAAGCGATGGCTTTTCTTTGTACTGGTGTAATGCCTCCATAACGAGGAGGTCTGTATCACAGTCGCTCTTGCCAAGAACTGAGAAATCAGACGGCGAAAACGGGTGGTCATGTTGGTGGGCGTGGTTACGAATAGCTGAATGTGGTGGTTGTGTTATTAACTGGCCTGTTCGAACGGAACGGCCCAAGTGTTCATGATGCGAGTTATCAAATGTCTCTTCGTTTTACCTATATATGCTGCCCTACAGCTAGCACACGTAAATTGATAAACAACTGAGGATTGCAGGTGTGTGGGTATGGTGTCTTTAATTTTAAAGAATTTCTTACTTGAACTCTGGGTTTTAAAGATTAGTCTAAGAGAAGTTTGTGGATAGAATTCATTGAAAAGCTTCTTAAGTTTATTTCTAAGGGTGAAACTGAGTGGGCCTGTGTACGGGATGGTGAGATAGATAGAATATTTAGGGACAGTGTGGATTTGAGGCTGTGTGGGACTAAAAAGCCTATTAAGCGTTTTGCCAATATAAGTGTCTTTAAATCTCTTAGGGAAACCATTGTTAAAGAGTAGTTCCTTTATGTATTCTAGTTCAATATCCAAGTGGAAATAGCCAGAACATATATTGAAGTCTCTGTTGGTAAGAGTACGTACTAGATTACGTTTGTAATTAAGAGGAATAAAAGATGAAAATTTTGAACTCAAACCAGTGAAATTTGGTTTTCCGTATAAGGCTGTCTCGAAACTATTATGTAGAAGGTGGATATTAACATCAAGGAATGGAAGAATATTTTCCTTTTCCAATTCACAAGTAAATTTGATGTTGCCATGTTTCGAATTTAAATAATTTAGGAGCATAGGGACGTGATCAAGTGATCTGAAAATTAAAAAAGTGTCATCAACATACCGACGATAGAACAAAGGCTTAAATTGGGGGGGGGGGGGCATTCGGTAAGCCAAAGCTTCTCGCGGTGACAGAGGAAAGCGTTGGCCAACGTGGGACCTAAAGGTGAAACCATAGCAACACCATCACATTGTTTATAAGCTTTGTTATTAAATAAAAACAAACAATCCTTTACAGTCAGTTTTAAAAATTCTTTAAATTGTGGTCCATTGAATCCATCAATTATATCAGTATTTGAGAACAGTTCATCTGTACATATGTCAATAGTTTCGGCAAGAGGGATGTTGGTAAATAGAGACTGTATATCAAAGCTAGCCATAACACAGTTGTTGAATGAGATGCTAGTTAGCTCCTTAACAAAACTAAAAGAGTCTTTAACAGAGTATTGATTAATGGTGATTGGTGACAGTATGGGAACGAGGACTTTAGACATTATTGTTGAAAGTGCCAAGGGCAGACAATATAGGGCGCAAGGGGACACTCATCCTTGTGTACCTTTGGTAGACCGTACAGGATACCTGGTTTAGATCCGCTAACAAAGAGTTTTAAAAAGGCGGAGTCGTTAATGACATTTTTTCTAAGTTTACGAAGAAATCTGTTAATCTTGTCCTCATACTTAAGAATTACCCTGAATAAATCGTCTAGAAATGTATGCAATTAAAAGAATCCCTACTTCAAGATGTTTGTGTTTACCCTGGTTCTCCTCTTCATTATATATATATATATATATATATATATATATATATATATATATATATATATATATATATATATATATATATATATATATATATACTACTGTACGCCCATGTCTCAGGTTCACTCATGTAGGCCTATATATCTGTTTATTCATATTTAGTGTTATAATTTTCTGCTATTTGTGTCAATCTTATCCAGTGCAACAACAAACCACCTGCTTTCCGTTTTTGTCAGCAGTGCAGACATCAGTAACAAGCAGTTATTTTTCTCTGATCTATGTCAGTATTTAACAAGAGAAATCTCGTTACACTCTTTACATCTTCCTCTCACTTTTTTAACACCTCTCTTACCTTTATCCAGCATGGTGCCTTCCTTCACGGGCCTCAACGTTCCACGTGCAGTTAGGATAGTCAATGCTCAACACGCTAAACAACGCTCACACTCGAGATCCGATGATGTGATCCTGTGAGGCAGTGAGGCACACTGTTGGCTGACTGTGACCTCACCTTTGCTTACCCCGAGACACCATCCAGATTTAGCAGATGTATAATTTGGCGGTGATGTGTAATTTTCACTATACTTCATGAGAATACTATTTTTATTACATCTTTTCTGAGTTTGTGACAATGAAGAGTAACAAACTAAAAAGTGAGAAAATATTAATGGCTACTGAGTGGCCAATGTTTACAGTACTGTCGTGAAAGATTACGATCAAAGACTATAATAAAAAAGATAGGACAGCAGGGCGAGAACAGCATAAGCCATATAGCATATAGTTGGCCGCGGGATCAACAGATGGCGGTAACGTGCAAGGCGCAGGTCTTGTAGGTCGTCTGTGAGGGGTTCGCAACCTTCCTTTTTACGGCCGTATGTGGCCGGGAATTGTTATACATGTGGCCGGGAATTATTATACATGCGGCCTGGAATTGTTATACATGCGGATGGCTGAACGACGTTCAAAATTCGGGCTATGCGGCCCAAAGTTTTAACCGCAAGCATTGGATTCGTGCGACTTGTTGGTGGACATTGACAGTTGCCGCTCCACTACATACCATAACGTCATCCCGGGCTTTATCCACGCTGAGTGCTCCCTAGTTTCCCTTGCTTCACAACCCTAATTATTGGTAAGTTTTATACATAATATTAAAAAAGAAGGTAAATTTTTACTTCAGCGCACGAGTCCCTAGGAGTTGACCAACATGTTTATCAATTGTATTTTGTTGTGTTTTAAACGAATCTGAACTTTATTTTTTGCGGAAATTTGAATTTTTTGCCTGAGAAATCGGAGTTTGCGGCGAATTTGGGTCCTAAGCTGTAAAAGTGTTCGAGGAACAACGTAGTCAGGTGTGGCCTTGTTGCAGCCAGTCTTGGCAAGGCCATCTGCTGCCTCATTCCCTAAGATACCGACATGACTGGGTATCCATAGGAATGTCACAGGACGGCCTGCATGTGAATGTTAACCATCGTATTCGGAGGATGAGGTCCTTATTTTCCCCTGATCCAAATGCGATCCTGTCGAGAGCAGACCTGGAATCGCAGCAGACAAGCAAGGGGCAGAAACCATCTGCTTCTTCCTCAGCGAGAAGGGCAGCAAGCTATTAGTTCCGCCTGAGTGGAGGATGCCCCGTCAGAAACTCTGAGAGACAGTTTGATAGGCTCAGGGGCATCAGGACGGGAGATGTAGACACCAACCCCGGCCCGACCTGTAGCGGGGTCAACAGAACCATCAGTGAAGAGGACGACCCTGGAGAGGTGGTATTTGCAGAGAATAACAGGGTTCACGTGGGATTTCGGGAGCGGTCCGCCGAGGGCAATCACTTCAGGTTGAAAATCCAGCCACGGAGAAGGGGACGATCCAACAGCAGGGGTTCACTTGGATTTTGAGTTGTATATCGTAACGTGCGTATTTCTCTCCCACAAGTCCAGGGTTGGAATCGCCTCTGGTTTAAATATATGTCTGACGTAGCACGATTTCCGGTTTTCGCCTGCACCAACATTGGATAAACTAACCACCCAGATGGCTTGTGTCCCGATATCTGGTGTTCTTATATATGGTAAAAAAAAAAAAAAATACTCAGCCTTTGGATACGCCCCTGGTAACTACGCCACTAGCAACTGAAGTTGAGGGCCTCGTTTTATTTCTTAGGTGGATGGTTTCCACTGTCTCCTGGTAGGGTGGCGCTTGGCCACTGGCTGACCTCAAACGCTTGTTTTGGAAGCTCTGTAGTTGTTGTAGTCTAGTCTTCCCGAGTGTGACGAGTAGTATAGATGGGTACTCCAACACAGGCCTCACCAGCGCCTTGTACAGGTGAACTTGTATCTTCTCAGGCATCAATTTAAAACGTTTTAATTTGGCTGCGGCGACTTTGGCTTTATTTAGTCTGTCCTTCACGTGGGGAATGATGCCCGTCCGAGAAATGAGGAGGCCGAGCAACCTGCCTTGTTTAGAGTACTCAATCTCTTCGTCGTCGATCATCAATGGGGCCGGTTTGAATTTGGCTCTGGTTATGACCTCAAATTTCGTTTTGTTTGTTTTTATTTTCCATTTATTTTCATACTCCGAGATCTCCTCTGTTGCCCGAGCAGTGAGTCGCACCATCCTTGCTGTGGACCTTCCTGGGCAGGTGACGATCTGTGTTACATCGTCGGCATACACGACATACTCGCTGCCGACGATTGGGGGTGGCAGGTCAGCTGTGTAGAGTGTGTAAAGGGTTGGTGAGAGACAAGAGCCCTGAGGCACGCCGCTCGATAGTGAGAATTCTTCTCCAAAATGTTCTTGCATCTTGATTTTGGCTCTGCGGTCCATAATGAAGTTACACAGCAGGCGCGTCAGATTTACGGGTAGCCCCAGTTGTATGATCTTATACTGCAGCCCTGCGTGCCAAACTTTGTCAAACGCTTTGCTGACGTCCCTCAGTCCTATATTGCACTGCAGGCGGACAGTCATGGCATTGGCGATCTGCTCGTAGGCCTGAGCTATGGCGGTGGAAGTGCCTTTGTACTGGCGGAAGCCGAACTGGCGGGGATTATGCACTTCTTCGTCCTCCAGATACATCCTCAATCGCTTGTTGACTATTTTTTCGAAGATTTTGGTAGGTACCTCTAGCAGCGATATTGGTCGAAAGTTTTCGATTTTGTTTGGAGGCTTCCCTGCTTTGGGTATGAGGCGAATAACGGCAATTTAGAACATCTTAGGGAAGTATCCAGAAGCGAGGCAGGCGTTGCATATATGAGCAAGCCTCTCTATCATGTTGTCGGGGAGTTGAGCCAGGATCTTCTTGTTAATGTGACTTTGACCAGGTGATTTGTTTTTAAACCCTTTTATGACGGCTGACACATCTGCAGGAACTATGCGCTCTGTCAGGTAGCTTCCGTCAACCAGTCTAGTGAAGTCAGCCCGTGGGAGCGGCTGGAGCAAGTGCTGATGGTCCTGCAACTGACCTAAAATGTCCTCCTCAAACTCCCTGTCGAAGCCCCCGTTCTCCTGTTCACTAATGGTAAAGATCTTTCGTAAATATCGCCGATGTAGTTGTTCTTGGTTTTCTTCCTCGAATATTTTTACGTTGTTTTGGTCGAGCAGGTAAGGGACCGTGCTAGAGGTGGAACCCATCAGTCGCTTGATCCCTTTCCAGAAGGTAGCAGAATCGCGGTAATTGTTGGCTGCCTCCCATACCAAGGCGGCCCACTTGGTGTGGGAGGCAGCCAACTGACCGCTGGGGAACCCCACTGGATACACAGTCCCACTCAGATTTAACACCATCTACGCTGACCCTCTGTGTTCTATGGGTAAGCCATGATTTTATCCAATTTAAAACTTTCCCCTCGATACCATGAGCCTCAACTTTTCTCGGAAGCCTCTAATGCGGTACTCTGCTAATGTCTAAGTAAATAACATCGTAATTTTCGTCATTATCTACTACCTCGAAGACTTTCCTAAAGAAAACGTCAGCTGATTTTTAGACAAGATTTTCCCTTTGTTAACCCTTGTTGAGAATCGTAGACTATTTTGTTTTTCTCTAAATGCGATCGGATGTTATTTGCTATAATTGATCAATGAAATTTCCCCACTACTAACGTCAAACTAATCGGCCGGTAATTTGACGCTGATGTTCTGTCACCCGTTTTGAATATGGGTACTACATTTGCCTGTTTCCACAAGTCTGGCTCAACTCCCGTGTCTAATTTTTTTTGTTTTTGTTTATTGGGCACTCCCCTACATCATTGTGTAAGGTGAAGCGCAGAAGCGTTTACAGCGCCCAACACGGAAGCATGCCAAGTTCATGCTTGCCTTTATGTCTCATGAGTTAAGGGCTTAGAAGCCTGAAGAGTCAAGGGCGTAAAAGCCTGAAGAGTCAAGGGCGTAGAAGCCTGAAGAGTCAGTGGCTTATGTCCTCAAGTTATTGGAAGCTCCAACAACTTGTCCCTGAATACGAATTCGCAACTTTCGACTTACACCAGGTACCTACTTTACTGCTAGGTGAACAGGGACTAATGGGGGCTAGGAAGTAAGTCCAAACAACTTCCACCGGCCCGGGAATCGAACCCGGGACATCTCGCTTGCGAGGCAAGAACGGTATCGCTTCTACCACCGATTTACGCTTGTAGGAGCATCATTTGACTTCATTGCGGCTACATTTGGCTACATTTGGGTAATTAGTTGGACCGCTGAGAGGTTTGGCTGCTCTGAGTGGTTAGTTGCTTATATTGTTACATGCCTAAAAGTGCTGTTTACATTTTGTTCCCGACAATCATAGACCACTTAGAACACTTATGAATACACCAATGAAGACTGAAGGCATAATGTACACAGTTGAGACATCTCTATTACGCCGACTGGGAACAGCCATTTATAAGGTTTGATAATGGACACGATTAGGTGTTAATCTAATGTTCATAATCCTCTAAAGCTGTGTTAAAGGACTCCGTATAAATGCTAAACCGGATAATGGTCTAGGGGAGAAGGTCGGGTTAATCAGCGTGGGTGGTCGCCTTGTTCTGGTACCTGACCTTAAACTCCTACAACCAAATCAGTGAAGCTGTCAAGATCATCCAGTATAATTAAGTCCCAGTCATCAACATTTCTATACACTTAATGGGCTATCGAATTCACGTAGATTGGAGAGAAATAAGTTGTAAGGGAAATATACACAGCGACATACCTTATATTTTTCAACACCAACTCACACATGATGGCGTCTGTATTTTATAATCCTTGACAACTGGATGTATTAATTTAGGAGCATTTTGTAAACGTTAACTTCCGTCACACATCCACTAATCGCCTCGACCGTCTCACTACTGGCCAGCTCCCTCCCTCCACGTCTGGCTGTCCCTGGTCTAAAGTTCATCCACATCTCCACCACACACTGAACAGTGAACCATCTCCAATACGAACATACGCTCTTGTGGTGTTGAAGCACATGATATAAGGCGTCACTTGCGAACCTTAGTAACAACACTTAATCGGATGGCTGGCGTGACCCTATTTGTTTTGCTTAATTTGACACCATAAGAAAGTA